AATCCCGTTCTGACGGGTATGTTGACCTCTGGCGCCTGCTTAATACCTGTTCTCCCTTAATCCCCGCTAACCCTGCGCATCATCAGTCGGCGATGATCTGCCAGATGTGCGGAAAAGCAACGACCATCGCCAGCATCGGCTGGCCTCTCTCAGCTTCCTTCTGTGGCGCTGGTTTTTGCTAAGCGCCAAGTGCACCTTTTCGCTGCCACCATTTGGTCTCTGTTATTCGTGCCATTCGCACAAACTTTTCAATCTATAATCTCACTTTGAAAACCAAATTGACTACGATGAAGATTTTCCTTAGCTTTGGTTTGCTGTTCTTGGCCGTTGTGCCATCAGCTCGCCTTCAGCGCATCGTCTCTGGCCCTTGTCCCTCAGTGCCTGCTATGGCAAATTTTGACAAATCAAAGGTAAGAGAGCGATTTGTGCAAAATTAAAATAAAGCTTTTTTTGTTGCAGTTTCTTGGACACTGGACTGAAGTTGAAAAGGTATGGATTTCATTTTTGCTGCGTCAGTCTCGGTAATTAAAAACAATTTCTATTTTAGAGCCCTAGCGTTTTTGACTTTATTCTTCGTTGTCTGGAGCTTGATTACGTCGGTAATAGTTTTTCAGCAGCCATCTTCCTGTTTGGTTATACTAACATTTTAACTGCATAGATAACAACGATGGTAATCTGAATGTGATTGTCAAGGGAACATCGTTGTAAGTACTAAAGTCTGTATTTAGTTTGCCATGTTCGATAACTTTTTAACTTTAGGGGTGGTCTGCCTCTCACCATCAAGGGAGATGGAATGCCACAGCAAGGTAACAAGCTGGGCAAATACAACGTTCGCTTCGGTTTCGGTGTCCCGTTCCAGGGTAGTGAGTCCACTTTCTTGGAAACTGACTACAAGGAGTTTGCCGTCATCTACTCGTGCACAAGCAGCATCATTCAGGGCTTCTACCACACCGAGTACATCTGGATTCTTTCCCGAGACGGCAGCATATCTAACCCCACTCGTCAGAACATCTATGAGACCTTAGACCGCCTCAAGATTAACCGAGTCGGCTTGCAGCTGGTTGATCGCAGTACCTGCCCAACCAACCAGACGCTGGTCACTCGAGAGAGCGAACAGAATCTGGCCAGCGCTGTTGAGCCTGTAGTCCTGGAGGAGACCGTTACCTCCACACTGCCGGAGAAGAAGCCAGAAGTGACTGTGCCAGCTACCGAGTAATTCGTGTGAGGGCGTCCGAGGTCCTCTGATGATCGCCAGCTGTTCACCTTTTATTTATTTATTTATTACTTTTCACAGCACTTTCATTATAAAGCTGGATCACCTAGAGTAGACATTGACATTGATCGCGCATTGCGGTCTCTATGCCTACCTGTGCGTCTATTTTAAAGTACCGATCAATAAATTAAATTTTAAAAACACACAAAACTTGCTAGTTTGGCCACCGTTTACTGTGCCTAAGTCGTTTTTAGTCGTTACGGCTAGCCATGTCTGACTCGGACACTAACTCACAAGGACGTATGCTTGAGGTAAATTTTACAATAAAAACGTTCTCATTATGTTGATCAGCACTATGCTTCATCATTCTGTAGTATGTGCGAAGTTCACCTCTGGGTGAGGACGGTAAGTTTCTGCTGACGGCGAACCCTGAGGTTCGTACCTGCCTAGACTGCATCTATCATGGATTCGAATTGGCAAGTAAGTGAACGGGGTGCTACCATTGATAAGACGTCAGTGTTTCACTGCTTTTTCATCACAGAGGAACAGGATTGCATCGGTCGCAAGAGTGGATACTCCAATGATTACGAGTGGTTCAGCTATAATCAAGTGAGCTTATTTGGGTTTTTGAAAACAAAATGACGACTGAAATATTGACAGACTATCTTCAAAATGCATTCATTTGGATCTGGTTTGGTGTACATTGGCTGTAAGCCATTTAATCAAACGATGGTTGTGCTCTACGGCAAGAATAACTTTAAAGTAAAAAAGCTAAATTTGCCAAAAACACATGACATTTAATAATGATCAATTTAAATAGTCCTTGATTGCTGAGTTTGGTTGCTATCATTACTCGATTGTGGTGGTTCCCGTTTATGACACCTTCAAGGCCAGTTTGGTTCTTGAGATTTTGCAAGAAAGTATGCAATGCTGTGCATTTATTTGTCAAATCACTAATGATCGTTTGCACAGTTGATCCTGGGGTCATTGTCACCGATTCGAATGAGCGAGCCAAGCAGCTAATGAGTATTGGACGAACACAGTCTCTGCATTCCATCATTATCACTTCGGAAAACATTCACCAAGAAACGCTATCATACGCAAGTAGCAAAGGTTTGCAGCTGTATCCATTCACTGAAGTTGAGGTAACTAAGAATGGTTTTGTAAAATATCTCAATAAAGATAAAACACTTGCATTTACAGCGACTTGGTTCGATGAATCCATCTCCAGTTAAACTTCCAAAACCGACTGATTTAGCAGTAATCAATTTTACCAGCGGGACCACAGGCTTACCAAAAGGTATTTGTATTTTTTCACTAACTTTTTTAATAATTTTAAGTTTTTTTAAAAACAGGAGTTCTTTTGACTCATGCAAATCTGGTAGCTAGCATGTCTGCCCTTTTGCTGCAAATTGTATGTTGCAAGTGTTTTGCAAGAATATGATAAGCATTTGTTTCATCAGGGAGGTCACATGGACTTGAAGTATGAAACTATGGTCTCTTACTCATCAATTGCTCACACACGAGAGCGAATTATCAAGGTAGAAGTTAACATATTTATCTTAATAGAAAGTTTTCATCTCCTTTTCACCTTTCAGCTGTGCATGTTTTACTCTGGTGGTCGTGTTGGCATTTACTTTGGCGACTTTAAAGATCTTTCTCGAGATTTGCCAGTTTTACAACCAACCATTATGGTTTGTGTACCACGGATCTTAAATCGAATATATCATCGTGTAAGTAAAGTGTTGTCGCTTTTGAGCGCTAACGCTAACAACCCATTATTCAGGTGATCACAAAAGTTAAAGGTAACTGGGTCAAGTCACGTGTTCTCGATGTGGCTCTTAAATCAAAGCATCCTGAGACTGTTTTCAAGTAAGCAAGGAATATCAATTTAAAACAATTTTAACGAAGTTTTGTATTTTAGCGAAAATGTCAAAAACTCGATTTGGGACAAGTTGGTTTTCAAAACCGTAAAGCAGTCATTAGGAGGCAATTTGAAGCTTTTAATCAGTGGTTCCAATCAAATTTCTAACATTGTACTCAATTTTATGCGAAATTCACTTGGCTGTACTGTACTGCAGTCGTATGACATTACTGAATGCGCATCCTTTGTCACTCTTACCATGTTTGATGATCAAAGTCCAAGTTAGTACAGTTGCTCTTATTTTTTCATTTAGTTGTACAAAAATGTCTCGTTTTTTACGCAGAACACTTGGGCCAGCCAATAGCTTGTAATGTCGTCAAGCTAGTGGACGTGCCTGAATTCAACATTTGCACTAAAGAAAGTGGAATTGGAGAGATTTGCGTAAAGGGAACCAATGTTTTCTCAGGCTACTACAAAGACCATGACACATATCAAGGACAGATGGATGATGAGGGCTGGTTTCACACAAACGATATCGGAATGTGGCTTTCGGTGAGCTATGTTTCTTTTTGTGAAACAAGTTCTAACATTAGTAACTCCACTTTCAGAATGGCTGCCTTAAGTTTATTGATCGAAAGGAAGATTTGTCCTTTATCAGCAACCCTTACGGAAAGTTGATCGCTCCAAACAAAATTGAAAACATATACATTCAAAGCATTTACGTTGGTCAGTGCTACGTTGATGTCGACTATGATCGAGTAAGTATGATCAAGTGTGATATTTATGAATACTCACTATTGAATTGTTGCCTAAAACAGGGTTACTTAATTGGCATCATTGTTCCTGATATCGGTATGATTTTCGGTTATGGTTTTGAGTTATTTTCAGTTGGATGATATCTTTTTTTTGTTATCAGACGGCATCAACTTGTGGTGCAGTGAGAACAATATGCTTCTTAGTGCGGCTGAAGCCTGCAAAAATGTGGTACGTTTATTTAACGCTTACTGAAAGAAAAGTCTTCATTTGTAAGTTTTTACTAGGCTTTCAAGAATACACTTGTCAACGACATTACTAACATTGGAAAGCGAGAAGGACTAGAAGAACATGAACAGGTTTGACTTATATTTAATAGAATATAAAATGATACATTTCTATGTTCTAGGTATCGGAGGTATACCTTGAATCGGACTCTTTTACACAGGAAGCTGGACTTCTCACGCCTACAATGAAAGTCAAGCGCCATGAAATGTACGTCTACTTTAAGCATGAGATTGATCAAATATGTTTGGAGCGCATGGCTAACTCATCAAAGAAAATTAACTGACCAATGGAAAATAATTTAATACTAGTGTGCACTTTTGTTGAATGTCACATGTTGAGTGGAATGCAGAGATAGTTTGTCAATGAAAACAATGTGAAGTGGAAAATTGAATGATAATGATGGCTTTTACAATGACTGTTTTTGTGATGATGAGTTTGTTCTACGATTGGCAGCTTTCCCAGGCAAAAGAAATGCGAGAGATGGAGAACATTGATCCTCTTGTACACCACTGGCAGAGGACTTCGACAATGAACTGTGACTCTTGCTGACACAACTGCACGTCGATTTTACTGCGTTTCCAGTGCGAAGAATGAGCCACTAGATTGCTTGATATAATACGCGGTGAAGTGGTTTTCGTGCGTTGACTGACTACAAACATAAAGGTGTTCATGCCCTGCACGTTGTATTCTATGTGAAGACAACCGATTTTGCTGTCCAGGTTAGGAAAATAGGCAGTTTGAAATCGAGCAACTTGTAATGGCTCTCTGCGGTTTTCTGTAAAGATTAAAAAACATATTAGAAAAACAAAGTAGTGTATACCTAAGATGAAAAGTACCATGAATGGCAAACTGGTAGTATTCGCATCGTCCATCGATGTACGTTGAGTTTTGAAAGACTTCAAAATTTTCCAAGTTTTTATTGATACCACATTCGTCATTGTTGAAGCTGCATTCAATCTTAGGCATACGCAAAAGGATGGGTAAACGGAGACGTTTTCCTAAGCTCAGAATAGTACAGTGAAGCAGAATCAAAGTTAAAAACCCCATCTGCACTGTGGTAAAGAAAATCATTTTTGCGTTGATTGTAATGAACTGCAAGCAATACACAGCTTGGTACAGTGGGTGAATTTGATCACTTTATAGACTTTAGTAAAAACCGTACCCATGTGCCGATAAAAACTGGCAATCGCAGTAAATGTTGCATTGCTTGTGAGCAATGAGGTCAGTGATGGCTAGATTAGATAGGCAGAAAACGATAGCGACTACAGTCAAAGAAGCCTATTCATTTAGTGAACTTTATTTAAAATAAGCGGTGGTCGAATACTAAACCGACAGATGCCGACTCAAGAAACAAACTTTTTTGAACGTTTTACTTGCTGGCATATGTATTGAACTCTTATCAGATTTTAGTGTTATTTTTTCAGTGATAAAAGCATGCTTGGCTCAGTTTTTACCAGAAACAAATGAGTGTTTTTGCTGAGCTNAAAATAAGCGGTGGTCGAATACTAAACCGACAGATGCCGACTCAAGAAACAAACTTTTTTGAACGTTTTACTTGCTGGCATATGTATTGAACTCTTATCAGATTTTAGTGTTATTTTTTCAGTGATAAAAGCATGCTTGGCTCAGTTTTTACCAGAAACAAATGAGTGTTTTTGCTGAGCTTTCAAAATTAGAAAAACGTTACTATCTAAACAAAAACTACAAAAGTCCGTTTAATGATATAACAACAGATTTATTTAGAGTAATGAAATTTGAGCGTCATTACGACTGTATTCTAACGAGCAGACATCGTTGTCAGTGCCAATTAATAATCTGATTACATGAGATGGTAGTGAATTTTCGACTGCAAAGCAAGCTGAAATAGATTGCCGTAAATGATTTGGATGCAAATGAAATTGATTGCCAAGACAGTAAATTGCGACTGGCCATATTGGAAATAAATCAGCCCAAATGTGCTGTAAATGGAAGGCAAAGTGAAGGCACACTGTGCGGCACTTTGAGAGCGTCATATTATTAATATTAATGGCGGGCTCGATTAGAGATGGGAGCCTCTATGTAAATAGGTGATATTGGCACACACACACGGTCTGCACAACTACGAATATTCATTCTATGAGCAAACAAATACCCATTTGGGTGTGGAGGTAATAAGCAAACTCCAAATGACGATCGTAATCAGCAATGAGAATGGAGCTTCATTCAGGGCCGTCGATCGGTTTCGCCAGTCGGCCAAGCACCATTGCAGGCTGCAACAGCACAACCGCTCTGCAGAACAATGATTCCGCTATATTGCGGCCGCACAGAATTGCCAGGCAAAAAAATGAATGGCCACTGAAGAGAGACTGTTTGGGCGACGATGCTGCCACTAACGGGGCAACGGACAAACCACTGGCGACCTTCTCGATCAAATCGTCACTTGCAAAAATGAGAAACTGCAATTTCAATTTACGCTAAACGATTAGATGACTTTGGCATTTGTGTTGGGCTTTTTGGTGATGCACTACACGCCCACTCGATGACAAGCAATTGACTGTGTGTGTGTGTGCAGATAAATAAATTGAATTGAAGAGAAAGTATCAGCGGCAGTATCAATTGGCAGATAGACCGTTGGGGTTTAATTAAAAGTACTCTACTAGGTAGAGCAGTGATCAGGAGTGCAATGACTCGACACAGGTAGTAGGGTCGGTGACATGGCCAGGTGTCGAAGGGAACGGGACAACAGGGGCAGGAAAGTGCAGGCGATCATTTTGCTCACGATTTGAGCAGAGAGTGCACCACTACCACCACTGCAACACTGATGGAACGGGCGGACCGCGTGCAACACGATCATGTCACCAGGAGTTGGGAGACAAATGCAAAGCTCAACTGCACAACTCAACTTGCACTCGTTACAGTTTTTTTACTAGCAACCTTTAAAAAAGTACAAAAAACTGAATATGCAAACACAGGCGTACACACACGTACCACGGCAGAGTTGTTGTGGCTGACATTTGCGTGTCGACTGTGGCGGCAACCAAAACATACCCAACCACACACACACACACACACACACAAGGCCTGAGACAATTTAAAATAATTAATAACGCACTTGCTTAATGCACTGCGGCAAACGAGTGAAAAAACGAATACAAACTTTTTAGCGTTCTAGGGAGTAGCAGCAAAAAACTGACTGGAACGAAGTGAGGCGACAGGCAAAGAGTAATTGAATTACAGAGCGCAGAGTTTGCGGTGTCTGCAGACTGCAGAAGAACGTTTTGTGGCGTGGGCAAATGATTCAATTAGTTTGACAAACATTGGAAGCCATCGAGGCAATTAGATGTGCTAATATGCTTGCTAATTTAGTGACGCACTACATCAGCAGAAAACAGAAGCTCTTCTTGGCCATCACTGGAAACACGGTGCTGGAAGGACTGCCATTACATTCACATTAGGCATCATCTGACTACACAGGCATTGCCGACTTAAATGTGACTTTAATTCAATTACAATAATTAATCTCTAATTAAAAAAGTAAATTCTGAATATAATTTACAATTTAAATTAGACTTTCAGTTAGCGCTCACCCCTTCTGCCGTCGTCTAATTTAGATTAATCGTCTCATTTGAGTTGTGCGCCAGGCTGGGTCCGTCTTCGTTTTTGCTTGAAACAATGGCGAGCTCGCAAATGAATTCAAATTTAGCTGGCAATCTATGGAGCGCACTAAAGCTGCCACTGTGTGCTATGCCAAATGGGCATTCAGTAACTTGGTGAATGCTGAAAATATGTAAATTGTTATATATCGTTTGCCTCTGTGTTGGCATGGATGCTGTTTTGAGTAAAGTTGAGATGAAATTGCCAATCGACCAAAAGCAAATGAAAAAAGAATAGAAAGGAGCCATTCATATGAAAGACGAGTGCTTCTTCTGGAGATCATCAAGCACTGCTAGCAGACAGATGCCGATTGAGTAGAGAGCACTAATTTAGACCTCTTGGAAATCGATTGCACTTCTCTTGCTGCTTCAGAGTCGTCTTTTGCCATTCATTCAGCGCCATTTACTCCGTGGCCCTACTTGCCACACGCCAGCGAATGCACCAAACATCGACAGTAGCTTGTTTTTCCCTCTCGAAGAGCATCGATTGGCCAGGCACCGTGGCCTGGTGAGGGCTCAAGACCAAAAGGCTCACTCCTTTGAGTAGTTGCTGTTGCAGTGTGCACCGATTTGGTTGCAGACACCGTGCCCAAATGGCAAATCGAAATGAGAGAAGAATGCATTATTTATAAGAATTACGAGCGGCAATCGTTGTGTCTGTGTATGCGCTTTCTCTCTAAGCAGTGTTTTACATTTTAATGCACTTTTAACTCTTATCGAGTCTTGCAGTGGCAGTCATTACGGCGTGTAATAGTTTATTTGGCCAATGCTACAATTGCAGATAGCGGATTGCACATATCGATCTGATTTATATTATTCCAGAGATCTGCAGTGATGCACGGCTGGCGCGCGCTCGTCTTCTCTTCCCTTCCATTCCTCTAGCCCCTTTACTCAATGCCTATGGGCGCAAATTACAATTGACACGCGTTACACTTCCATTCGATCTGGCGCCTGTACTTGGTTCTGCTCGCTTTGTGCCACTTTAATGGGCCAAATAACGATGTTGATAACGATTTTAAAGGAAATTTAAATTTGAACTTCACTTTGGCAGTA